GGGCATTTTGCTTCATCTCTCTGAAATGTTGAGAAGAATATTTACCTTTGAATTGAGGGTAAAAATGACTCCCCATCCCCCACTTCCATTTATCATATTTACACAAGGAAATCTGTCTCCCAGTGTGCAGAAAAAATTTCAGTTATCATTGCAAATAGTCTTGGGTTGAATCTTGCTTTGCTCCTTTATGTCTTTATTTTACATTTACTCTAGGAAACCTCACATAACAAAGAAATGTCTACAGACCTGCTACTGTGACCACTGGTTGTCTAACCAGTTTCCTCTAATCTGGTGGTAGAGATATGCCCATTTCATTTAGAAAACCGGGAGTCCTTCCCATAGCCTACGAAGCTCTACATGCTCCGCAAAGCACCACCGTGGTCATCCCACTTTCCCCATTCGCTCTGCTCCAGCCCCACTGATCTGACTAATATTGCTCAGATCTTGTGGCACATTGTGGCCTTAGGGCCTTTGGCTTTACAGCTCCCTCTGGCTCTGGCTCTGGCTGTCTCCACATTACTGGCTCCTCACCTGGTTCAGGTCTCTGCTTACATCTCACCGTATCACTGAGGGCTGATGGTACGCACTTGGCCATCTATCCCTTTACCCTGATTTGTTTTTCATCCTAGGACTTTGGCTCTATACCATAGTCTACAGCTACTTGTCCATTCTTTCTCTTCCCCTGCCTTTCACTAGAATATTTACCTTTCACTGCTGTGGCCCTAGCACATAGAATAGTGCCTGGCTTATCACAGGTGCTCCATAAATAAATGCTGAATAAATAACGCACCCTCATCCTGGGGATGTATGCAGTTTATCGCTTGCCCAATGCTTCAAATCTGTCATCAGCATTTAACTTTGTAACCACTGACCACTCACACAGATACGATGGGAGTGAGTCATCATCTCAAAAACAAATCCAGTTAGTCCTAAACGCTAGATAACCAGAAAGGTGATGCTTATTCTATAAAATACTGAGATTTTATAAACAACAGAAGGGATCTGTTGGAGGTGTGTCAAACGTGCTGACGCAGCAGGGCTTTTCTAACTATGCAGAACACCCTGGCTGCTGGGGAGAATTGACAAATGTGTCTGATCCATTCTCCATTCCTGGCTCCCTAGGCTGGGGTCCCTGACCCGAGCCCTGGTAGCTGATTAGCATGCAGAGATGTGTGCGTCCGGAAGAAGAAGTTGCTGAGTGCTGCTTCCTCTCCCAGCCCATCTGCATCCGGATCCCTCCCTCCCAGGGGGCTAATGAAACGGCCACAGGCTTCCATTCCGCATCACTCACCCTTGAGGGAATATCACAGCATCTGTCTCTACTGGTCCACACCGGACTGCAGACGATATCGAAATTCTGGATTTGGAACTGCAAACAACCAACAGCAACATCAGCTAAAGATGCATGAGAAACATCTTATACTAACGTATCCACAATTTAACCTTTGCCAACTTCTCTGTCTCAAGGGTGCAAGGCCTTGGGAGCAAATGGGGTCCTTACTTCATAAGGAACGACCATAAAAGCCTGTGCCCAAGATAAAGAGACAGTAAAGCAAATGCCTACATGAAATTCCCACTTCTGATTCACTTCCTTGGCTAAAAAGACATGTCTGATTGAGTTTTGTTTTTTAAAGAGAACTAATTTCTTTGTTTAATTGTGAATTTGTTCCATTAAGAAGTTGAAAATAACACACAGTTAAATCAACTTTCAATAGCCTATCCTTGTAGGAAAGCAAAATTTCAAAAGCCATTCCGCATTTATTCTACCATTGACGCTCTTTTTTTTTTTTCATAAATTCTTACCTAGGGGCTGACGAATAATTTTTATGATTACCCTTAACTATTTCAGTATAGTACAGTCCTCCCTTATTATTCACAGAGGGATTAGTGCCAGGACCCCCACAGATACCAAAACCCAAAGATGTTCAAGGCCATGTAAAATGACCTAGGATTGGCATAACCTCAGCACATCCTCCCATATATTTTAAATTATCTCTTGGTTACTTATAATACCTAATACAACATAAATTCTATGTAAATAATTATTTACACTACATTGCTTAGGATTTGACTTTTTGGATTTTTTTTTTTTTTAGTATTATTTTCAATCCTCTGTTGAATCCACAAGACACATAATCTATAGATACTAAGGGCCAGCTGTAATATATACTTCCTATCTTTCTACTTTTTAAAAATAAAACTCTTTTAATAAGAGGGAAAATATTTTTTTAGCTATAACTTATTTTATATCTCTGACATCGTTATTCTATTTAAACATAAAAAACAGTAGTCAATAGAAAGTCTGAATTTTAATCACAATGATATTAAACTTGCACTTATTGGTTTTCATTGTAGAATAGAAATTTCAACATTTGAATCTAGGAGAAGAAAATTCTGTCTATGGAAGAAAGCTAAATTAAGTAAATGTAGTTTAAAAATTAATAGAAGCCAAAGGTAGCAGACTTGCTTTTAGAACTCTGTGATTATCAATTGACATTTAATATGAACTTCAATGTTCATACGGCTTGGTGCAGTGAAAACCTCCATTTAAAACTGTCTCACTAGATAGAACCGTAAATAGGACTGGCACGCTCCTGCCTCAAACATGCGCCAGTGAACTTGTTAGTAATGCGGTCAGTTGGCTGCTGTTCTACACTGATCTTCCCTCGGAGACAGACGAGGCTCCTCTGTGAGAAAGTGCGGGCTCTAGTGATGGTCACAGCCAATGTCCACCAATGCTTTACGTCTCGACTGCACAAATTTGTATTAGCAATTACTCTCTTTGAAGAACAAAAAAGTGAATTATTTTAGATTTCACTGATCATCCTGGCAGCGATTTGTGCTGTACTCTCCAATTTGATCCAGTTTCAAGATGACTGCATGATGTTCTCTGTTGCCTTGACATCTTATTTTGTTTTAGCAATAAAACACACTATTATATTCTGTCAGTAGCATATTTCCTGAATATAACCTTTCCCAAGTTTCAATCCGAATAAGAAATTTAACAATTTAAAACTCACTGAGAAAAAACAATTCACTTGTTATTTAAAAAATGCCGTTTTAATCTTGACTCAAGACACCAAGAAAAATAAAAATGCGTTACTTACTGTGGCTGATTTCCTCTCCCCTTTAAGTAGTTTCCCAAGAATTTCATAACCATCAGTTGTGATATTTCCAGCTTCCTTGATGTCTTTTTCTATAATTTCATAGCAGTCGATGTAAATCTTAATACTTTTTGAGGTCACTACGATATGAACCTATAAAGATCATTTGTTTCCATTATAAATTTTTCACCACCAAAAAATTGGCTGACTTCTTCAAATTTAATATCACAGGTTTAAAAATATGTTCTTTAAGCTATTCTCATCCCCCAAAGAAGCATTTTAGACTAAAATCCAAGACCTTGTTGCAATGTCTTGTCATTTATTAACATCAAATCAAATGACCCATGTACCCTCTCTAGGTCAGTTTCCTTCAGCCACATATACATGCATCATTTCTCATTTTCCCACCATGTACTGTTACTAAGATGACCAGAGATAATATAGATGGGATGATTCTGTAAACTATAAAGAACTATTCAAATACAAGCTAATAAACCAATAATTTATTATTATATTCAGTAAAACAGAGCCTCGGATGTCTTTCACTGACTTTCTAAGTTGGATTTTTAATTTGTTTTCTTTTATATTATTTATTGATTTAAGAGAGAGAGAGAGACAGAGACAGAGACAGAGATAGAGACATCGATTTGTTGTTCCACTGTATTCATTCATTGGTTGATTCTTTTATGTGTCCTGCCCAGGGATCAAACCCACAACTTTGGTGTATCAGACGATGCTCTAACCAACTGAGCTACCTGGCCAGGAATAATTTTTTCCAAATTTCAGTCAACAAGAACTTTCATACTATATAAACACCTAACATAGTAAGAACCAGCATATGTCTTCTATAGAGATTCAGCTCTAGAAACCAATAGATCAAGATTCAACTTTATTCTTTTGTCTGATATTGAGTACACTAGGAATCTTAAGAAATCTATGAGGACAGATAATTAATAAAACATGTGTATCTCAACAATGTAAAAAATGGTTTCAGGTAATCTTTAAAGTTTATAGTCTTGTTGATAGTTTCCACTTATCACAGCACAAATACTTCAGTAAGTACTTGATTATTTTGAAAAGTTCAGCTCCAAGTTAAAAGAAACAGAAGTTCCCTTAAATGCTTCGAGTCAATAAACATAAGAACAATCCCTAGAGATTTTTTTAAAACAGTAACTATTTTTCCCACTGAGAATCACCACCAAAACACTAATTTAGTGCATCTGTAAGTGGCAAATATGAATTACATATGGCATTTATATAAAAGTAATACATAGCTTACTAAAAATAAAGAAATTTTAAATGCCCACAGTACAGTCATCTAACATTGAATTCAAGAATAGCATTATACAAGCATTCCCAAGACATTTATTATCTAACTAGAGGCCTAGTGCACGATTCGTGCATGGGTGGGGTCAGGCCAGCCCACCCCAATCAGGCAGATCAGGCTGGGCGGCCGGGGGGAGGGGTGGCAGGCGGTTGGTGGGCCAGCCCTGTCCCTGATGGGGCGTGATCAGAGGTGGTGCCGGCCAGGGGGAGGGACTGCAGGCAGTTTTCCTGCCGGCCCCACCCCTGGTCAAACTCCTGGTTGAACTCTCAGTTAAACTCCCAGTCGAGGGGACAATTTGCATATTAGCCTTTTATTATATAGGATAGGAAGTAAAACTTGGGGGTATTTTTTGCGTAATCCTTTCACCCTTTTGGACACAGACAATAGTATAGTGATTGCCAGAGGGAAGGAGGGGTGGGAGAAGGTGGAAGAGGTAAAGGGGAGATAAATGGTGGTGGAAGTAGACTTGGTTTGGGGTGGTAAACACATGCAATATACAGATGATGTACTATAGAATTGTGTACCTGAAACCTGTGTAATTTTATTATTCAATATCACCCCAATAAATTCAATAAAAATTATAAAAAGGACTAAACCTTATTTGTTAGCTCTTGTGTGAACAACCACAGAGGTAAATATTACAAAGTACTTGAAAAAAAATTATAGTATACAGAATTATGTCAAAATCAAGACTCTTAGTTTGTAATAAAATTATCCCAAATATACTGGTCATTCAATGCCAACCATACTAAGCACATGCTAAAAACATGTTTTACTACAATCTCTTCCGCATGTTCTACTGCATTTTAAACACATGCATAATCACATTTTAGAGTGGGCTCTTCATCTGCAGACCCTCATCCTAAGTACTTAGAAACCATCTCTAAACTGTGAAAATTTCACAAACCAGCAGAAAGAAATAGAAGCACTCATTCCAATTCATCTCCCAGCCCATACTCTGCCATTCTCTAAAACTTCATTTTTCATCTATTCCTCTTTTACCTCTTAATGGAAATTTCTCACTTGGACATATGTCATCTGTCGCAACAGAATGGAGACACAAAAAACTTTTCAAGAGAATTTTCAAGAATCAATAGCTGTCTGCTAGTCCCTGCATAAGCTCTTTTAGCCTACCCTCTCTTTCCCAAGAGCCCCCTGCATGTCATTTCCACTCCTTCCCTGCTATGGGAGTGCTACTCACCCCATGGACTGAAGGACTTCAGTCCCTAGATTAGATGGAAAATCAAAGAAGAATGTTTGAATCCTTGAATCAGTAAAGAATGTCATAGCCAATAGCGATTGAACTTGTTGCTTGAATTGATAGATAAATGATGTAGGAGAGTAGGTGAGAAGAATGGGGTAAGGGAATGGAAGAAGAAAGAGTATAGTGAAAAAGTGGAGAGAAAAAACTAATAAAAAGAAACACAGTATGGAAAAAAGAAAGTAGAGAATTTGAGGAGGGCAGACTTGTAAGAAGAAACACCTAAGACTACAAATACCTTTCTATAAAGGCAAATGAAGCAATGCCAAAAATAACGATCTTGGATTGGCAATAATGGACTGTCGCTATAGACCTCTGCAAAATATTTCTTTTTTTGCTCAAGTAAAATGAAGCATTCAATGAAAGTTCAAAACTTAAAAATAAATGGCTATCAGTTGGCTAGTAGAAATTAAATTTATAGTATCTTTAGAGAGTATGGAAGGAAAAATGAAATAGTCCTTTTTAGCAGGTTACTCAAATATAAACTTAATAGGTGTAGCAATGAGCCAAAAAAGTTCATAAGCACTTTGCCAGATTCATCATCTAATATTGGATAAAGAGAAGTTGAAGCTAATAATATTTGCCAAACTAGAGTTTGCTTTCCCAATGAGGCATTTATTTTATTGCATGCACTTCACCATGAAAGTCAATAAACTGTGAAGTGGATATTCCATTATTCTCAAAGAGCTTTGTTTTCTTTCATTGTATTTTGCTAATGTGCACATTGGGAAGCCTCTTTGAGCTTCCTGAGAAGAGTCCCTTGCCATCCTGACTGAGAATTTAATTCACGAATAAGAAAAGCATTCTGGAAAGAACCCAAATTCTCAGGAATAGAAACAGAAGAAATAACAGCTACATCTACTCAAATACAGAAAAGTTTTTCAGTTTTCACTTGAGAATCAGATTGAACTGGAAATACTTGTCTTCTATATAGGAGATTAACTTTCTGAGTGTCATGCTGGAGAAATTTTAGACCACTTGTGCAACCAGAGGTATTCCTCCTGCTAACCCAATGGATGAAGAAATACTATTAAAAAGTTCGTTCCTAACCTAGCTTATCCTTTTCTTTTCTAATATGTCAAACTTCAGTACTTTTGTCAATTAATCATCTTTTAAAAATCTTACAGAAAGCCAAAGCCGGTTTGGCTCAGTGGATAGAGCGTCGGCTTGTGGACTGGAGGGTCCCAGGTTCGATTCCAGTCAGGGGCACGTGCCTTGGTGCAGGCCGGGTCTCGGTGCAGAGGCAACCAGTTGGTTCGTTTCTCTCTATTATCCTTTGATGTTGACATACACAGGAATTAATTAAGATAAACAAAAATAGACAATCCCATAAGAACGCATCTTAGAACTTCCAACAAGATATTTTAGAAAATCCATAATGTGTTAATGTAAATGTTAATCATATAAACATTTATCTTTATTATTTTGGCAGATAGTGATAACCTTTATACTGGCATGTCTGTAACTTTATCATAAACAAGCAAGCAGAAGCAGCTTTATAAAATAATAATCCTATCAATTAAAATATAATAAAAAATTAAGCTTTGGAAATAAAATAATGTAATGGTTTACAATAAAATGGTAGCTAGAAAAGGTAGTCATGCTACATGATTCAAATTTTTAAAAGATATTAGCATAAGATTTTATTTTTAAAAGATATAGTTATATTTTTACCAATTTAGCATAACATTTTAACAAATAATAAAATAAATTCACTTAAAATATCAAGCCATATTCTTTTTTCTATAAGTAACCAGATAATATTTACCTTATGAAAACTTCCATAAAATAATGACTTCACTTCTTCTGTGTCGAATGTAATAGTCTGCACCTCACCTCTTGTATCCTTGTTAAAGAATGATAATGTCTTGCTAGAAGCTGTAATTAACATGTAATTGTTACTAAATCACATGCCTGGTATACTTTATATTGAAAGTATTCACGATGTTTCTCTTTTGGTAAGATGTCTAAAAAATTCAATAGTTTTAATTGGGATACAACATAATTAAAATGTTTACTAATAAGCTACATTTTTAAAATTTTAAACATAAAAGCATATGTCAAGTAAATATATGCAGGGTGGGGCAAAAGTAAGTTTATAGTTGTTGTTATTATGGAAAATAATGTAATAATTAATGAATAATACAAAAAGAAACTCTGTGTTTCTCATATGCACAACTATAAACTACTTTTGCCCCACTCTGCATATTCAGAAGGTTCTTATGAAAAGAAGTCAAGAGAAAACCTAATCAACAATATGTACACATGTGCCTTAAAATAAGATAAAAATCCTTACGATCTGCAATCACTCCAACTTGTGGTTTGTAGTCTCTGTCTGTGATTTGCCAAATTGCGAAAGGGTCACTGGGAGATTCTGGGAGAAGTCTGAACAATAATATAATCGTGTATGAAGGAGGGAGTCCATTTGGGTGTAGATCTCTGTGGATAAAACAAATGAGTGAATTCACTAATAAAAATTTCTCAGCAGAAATAGAGAATATTTTAAATCTTTGGACCAGAATCTTATTATGGGCAGTTTTAGAAGTCATTTATAATAATCTGGCAACATATTAGAAGGAGAAAATTTTAGGAAAGACATCAAAAGAACAAGCACTAAAGGTCCATTATGTAAGTAGTAATAGATTATTTATAATCTGATAAAGTCACAGAAGTCTGGGAAATTGCCAAATGGTCTTTTATCCTAACAACTAATTTTTTCTAGACACATAAACAATTGCAAAATTACATACTAATTTTGGAGTGATAAACATTATACCTATGGATGTAACTTAAAGAAAATGAATCTCACTAAATGTACTTAATTCCCAGTGTCAGGGGTATGAGATTATAAAATAGCTTAAGGTTTTAATTTCTCCCTCGCTTTCTCCAGTAGTTTTTACACTCCCAAATTCCTCCCTTGAAATAAATAAATCACATAATCTCCAGAAGCTTACATGTTCCTAAAAAGAGAACGAGTAATAAATGTTAAGGTCATGTACATGTGCCAAGCCAACGTTTAGTGCTGATAACGGGATGGAATTCAATTAAAAGGAAATGTTGCTTTGCTCTAAGGCTGTTAGACAAAAACATGTGGTTCCATGTGTCCTCCCAGAGTTGACTCCATCGCTATTCAGGGGAACCATTGAAGCTAAATTGATGGTTTTCTGTCTGAGACTATTTAATAACATTTTATTTCTGAAGGCAGGAAAAGGGCCTTGCTCATCAACTCTCAGACAGGGGAGAACCTATTCTTCTGTGAATCTTGACAGAGGGCCCAGAATGTCTCTTGAGGTTTCAAGCCCTTGCACCAACCACACCACTGGTACTTCTGGAATATGATACTGCTCTGCCTTTTAAACATGTATTCTGGGCAAGGAGACATAATAGCTTCAGTGTGTGCAAAAGCCTACTATCTCCATAATATCCCATGTTAAAAATAATATCTTCTCCATATTAATTTATGTCTAACCTTGCCCATTTTTTTCTTCTTTCTCAGTTAATGAGTCCTTCCGGCGGCTGGTGGG